GTTCACAGTCATTTTACAGCAGGTCGTGAGCTCCCGCTGCCTGGCGTTCCCGATGGACTTGAACCTTACACAACCTTGACTGCATGTGTTACCTAATGTCATGCATCTCCACCTTCAGTCTCTTCCAGTCCATACTGTGAATGTACAGTTGTGGCCATTTGGAGCTAACAGCATGTGACTAAAACAAATGCTAGTGCTCCTGCAAGGGCTGGCACTACTATGCAGATAGAGTTCTTTCAAATGTCATCATATTATAGCCACCACCTTCATTTTATTACTAGACCAACTCAGAGTACTGCATTTTGGCAGTTTTTGTGTTTTTAATGAGCATATCTCTGAAAAGTCTGCCATTCTTTCTGTTCCTCCCACTGAGGCAATAGTTTGTTAAATTACCTTTCGCTACAATTACAGGAACAATTTTGTTATTTGGTATCTAACAAGTTTGCACATGCATAGTCAGCGTTTGCATAATTTCTTTGCTAAGTAGCTCCACCTCAAGAAAATACATCCCTGTAGCTTCCACAACAATGTTTCATGAGATGATGGCGTGCTCAGGGTAATGTTAGTTTTCCACTTGACCTGGTGTTGTGAACGTGGTCTCATCTTACCAGTACACATTCTTCCATGTTTGCTTTTTCCACAATTGAAGAGATGACTTCTTGTATTTATCCTTCATCTGTAGTTTTATTCTTGTCCTGGTTTCGTCTCTGATTAATTCTCCCCCTGCCCTGTCTGAAATCTGAACCTAAATGAGAATGACTTACAACTAGGTTAATCTGATGACTAAACACATTGTTTTTATTATTCAGGATGCCAAAGTAAAGAAAGCTCATACTTACGTTCAAGGATTTTATTTGTAATAATATCAAATCCCATCGATGCTTCTTGTTTCACTTCCCAACAATTCATTACTTTCTGTAGATTTAGTTCAAAGTATGTAGTCACTATTTCATGGTAATCATTACTATACTTGCAGTATTTGTTTCTGCATCCTGCAAAATGTATTCTGCTATTTAGGTGTTCTGCTAAGAGCAACCAAAAGCAGTAGTGCTCTATAGCTGTGTTCAGTGAAAAAATGAATAAAACTCTGAATTTTATGTCCCTTCACAAACGGCTTCCCAGTAACAAGTTGAGAGTACAGATAACTGATTTACCATACAGTAACCATCAATGTCCTCTTCAGTGAACCATCCCTTCACATTATTTTTCGATTGAAGTTCTACTTCTTGCTTTCCTCTCCGACAAACTGTTGAACCTGGAACCTTGGCTAACAGCAGCGTTTGGATTGGTTCCATTTGCAAATGTTCTCTAGTGTAACTGCTGGAAATGGCTGCAGAATTGGTGCTTTGAAGGGAGGCACTCGAATTATTGAAATCACTTTGAGGTCAGCCGATTGTGAACTTTGCTTCTTGCGAAGCGAGAACAAGACAGACCGCTTTAAGATGTTACTCGACGTCTTATGATCATATTTGCCTCCAGACGACGCATAAGAAGTCCAATTTAACCATGCCCCAGCTGGAGTAATGAAGAAAAAAAAAAAAAAAAAGCCGACATTGTCTGAGCGTCTTCCAGTTACTCGGCTCCATTTCAGTGATTTAAATGACTAGCATAAGAAGACCCATCTCTCTATGTGCCATGGAAACCGTCATCAAATTAGAATTGAAGTGATTATCCGCAGCAGAGCTAAAGGACAGAATCGATAGTTCTTTGTTCTAGGCTAAAATGAAGAATGGCCATTCAGCAGGGATCTCTCTCTGTTCCTCCTTTTCTCACACTCACACAAAAACACACACGCACACACACTCTTCCATCTGCCTCTTTGAATTCCTTATTCGGCTCCAGTATCTTTGACCATATCGGCATTAGTCTTGCGGGGTGTACTCTCAGACCTTCCGTCTTGGTTTTTCTCACCCTTGTCAGAAAAAAAAAAGAGAGAGAAATTAAAACCCAAAGGAGAAGTGCTTCCTTAGATGATTGCAATTAGTAGTTTGGACTAGATTTTGCATCTCTGGCCCCAGCCTTGCACTCTGTGTTAGGTAACAGGGAGTGGGAGTGGGCCTGTTGGGCATGGTTCCAGGATCCAGAGAGCCCTTTGCCCCTTTTGCCTCCTGAGACGCAGCAGCAGTCAGAGGGCTGAGCAGAGCTGGAGACGGGAAAGCATGTTAAGAGGATAAAGTCAGAGAAGAGAGATGTGATTTCTGCTGGTTAAGTGGAGCTGTTGTATTCTAATTGAATCAGCGATGAATGTGAAAATGCATAGATTTTTTTTTTTCTTTTTTTTTTGGATGCCTGCTTCTTAATGGAAGTGCAAGAAAATGAAACATAAACACTATTTCAAAGGAAATATTAATTGTGATTTCAGGATACTTGTTCAAGAGTTACACCAAGTTGCATGAGAACAAAAATAATTGCATCACAAACAGAAATGTTGTTTATTCATCATTAAAGATGTAATACTTAGCAAAAAGAGATAAAGGTGTAATATTTGCTCATAAAATATGATTTTTTGAGCAAAAGAAGAATATTATTTCTATGAGATACTAGGAAAAACCCCAAAAAGACAGAAGCTCTAGCAGTTCTTTAGTGGATAACAATTTTGGGTATCCGCAAAATTTTCCTGATTTCAAATGCACTTTGGAAAGACAAGAAAAATTATATATATTTAAAAATTGTAAAATGTTTTAAAAATGTTAGAGAATTACCTCTTCAGTCCATAATAACATCACCAACAGCATTTAAGTTGAAAAATATGCTTTTCATGGTCCTCAAAGAAATCCAATGCAAACATCCAATCACATTTATGGGGCGCCAACTCACAATGACACACTTCCACTCTATCACTAACACCACTTTAAGCGCACACACACACACACACACACACACACACACCTACATGCACACCCTGCTTCACATAAAGGACTGTAATCCATCAATGTGCTCATTGCTGTCACGAGTAAAGAGACAGAGCTCTAAGCAAGAGTCCTCTAAAACAAATTTGATTTACCTCACTTTCTCTCAAACAGTGACATGAGCGCTAGAAGTGCTAATGCAGACTGGCACCTTTCGCTGCCAACAGGCACACGTCTGTTCAGCTCAGTCTCAAAGCCCAAAGGTTCATGCTGAAATCTGATTTGTTTGGGAATGAGATTTGGGTTTTGAAGGGTTTTAAAGTTATTAAAATTAGCAATGAGGTGCAGTGAGGGTGTGGAGAAATTTAATAACTCCATGAGGAAAATCAGCTTTGTGCATGCGTGTGTTTGTTGTTTGTCATAAAAAGTGAATGATTCAGAGGTGGTGATTTTAAATATTCCATTTTGCACCTCTGACGTACTTTACTTTGTAAATTTAACCAGCCAGCTCTGTATGGTATATTGCATCCAGAGTCCATATTACACAGTCTTTAAATTCTCCGAAATACATTTAATGAGTTTAGAGCAAGTGAACTGTTAACTACTGTGTTTAGTTAATGCACCAAAATGAACTAAGGAATTAAAATATCAACTCAGATAAGCTGACATGTATTTTCAGGAAGTCAACGGTCTGATGGAAAACATTTTATCTGTAAACTTATTTAAGAGAGAAAGAAAGATTTGTTTTGTTGTTGTTGTTGTTGTTGTTCATAAAACCCAATTAGCACCTTAATTATGAAATTAGGCAACCACTAACAAAACTCCTCAATTATTTAGTTATGCTTTCTTATCATCAGAGCAGTGTTGCAAATGTTATCTTAATGACTTCTGGTTTCACTTTTCATGTTGCTTGAATCCAGTCATTTTGGATCCAAATAAATTCAGTTATTTATTTGCAACCTGTTCAATGCTTTCTTCTTTCTTATAATTTCCCTGTACTAACTCAAAAAGTCATCAGTCAGTGTTTACAACAGTAATGTTAGAAAGATCAGAAATGAAACAACGACTCTTGTAAGTTTTGTAAATAAGGGAACCAAACACACTGACTTTCAGCATTCACTCTTCCTGGATGAGCATGTGGCAGCCGTTGTCAGTCTCTCGCTATGTGTTGGTGAAGTCACAGCAATCCCTTCTACTGGCCATGCATGTAGCAAAAGGAAAAACTTCCCCTTAACAGATTGAAACCTCCAGTAGAACCTGGCTTGGTATGAACGGCCATCTGGCATGACCCACTGGGGGTTCGAGAAGACAGAGCATGCATGCACACATACACATACACGCAGAGAATCACAGTTCAGAAGAACTTTTTATGTAAGACTAAAGTTAATGGGGGTAATATTTTTTTTTTTATGGCTTCGTTGATGAGAGAGACGGAGCTTTGCAGATGAGGTCTGAGACAGTTTTCTATAGGTTGGAAGAGAGCACAGACAGTTTGTCACAGTAAAAGCTCATCCAGTTGCCGTATCTTAGAGAGAGACATGGTTAACCAGTGAAAGACGGGACCAAGTGTGTCATCTATAAGTTTTTGGCAGCAGTAGCTCAGCCAATGCCCGACTCCAGGAAGGTCTCACAGCTAAACAGAAGACCAGACTAGATGTAGCTTGCAAGAAGAGAAAAAAAACAGAGTGTGTTAAGTAAAATGATGAAATAACAACATTAAGGAGGGGAATGTAGCTGAATGAGGTGGATAAGGGGTCAGTTTGTCCCCAAGGAGCCTGAACCTACAGCAGCATAACCACTGAGATTTTTTCAGGATAACCTAAGTCACTCTTAACCAGAACCTTAATCAAAAAGGAAAGTTTTAAAGCCAAGTCTTTAAAGTAGACACAGACTAATACTGGGGTCTGGTTTCGCAGGAGAATCCTGAAAACTAAAGCAATAATAATTTTACTTCTAGAAACTCTCAGAACCACCAGTAAGCCTGCAGTCTGAGAGCAGTGCTATAAACATCTGGTGTTTTTTAGTTTGCCTATACTTGTCATTTGTTTTCCAGTTTAAATTTTAAGCTTTATTTATACCGTAGAGTAACTGATGTTTCCAGGTTCATTTTAATGTAACCATGTTTTTTCATTTTTTGCTTGCTTTATTCAGGTGGCCAACTTGGCTTGCTCCATCTCCAACAATGAAGAGGGTGTGAAGTTGGTACGGATGGCAGCCACCCAAATTGACAGCCTATGTCCACAGGTAAATGCTTGGAAAAATAGTTTAAATGCAAGCTGGATACATGGCGTGGCCAACATTTTTTATTTTATTTATTTTTATTTTTATTTATTTATTTATTTATTTATTTTGGTTTTTAGCCATTTTCTATTGATCTCAAAAGATTAGCTTTGGATTGTTTTTTTTTATACAAAATGGAACAACTTGAAATGGCAGAAAAAAAGTCACAGTATGCAGAATTCAACGAATATAATTTAATTATAATTTTCATTTCTCAGAATACAGACAAACAGTGATGTTAAAACTGGTCCATTATTTCCTAGGTTTAGGGTAATCATTTTCACATGGGACATAAGGCAGAATGAAAAGTGGAAATAGAGAAGAAAAGCTGAAGTTAAGATTCAGACTTTAATGTTCATTTTCCGCTATGTACACCCTCTATAACCCACTAACTCTGAAAACTTGGGAAAGAATTTTCTCCTGATACCCCTTCGACACGCTCAACAGAGACGGATTAAAAAACATAATCGACTCAGACTTTGTGACTGGGGAAAGAGGAACAAAGAAGAAGTGGAACAAAGAGTGATTTTTTTTCCCCCTCATCTGTTCTGAGTCAGTTTAGTCCAAGTTCCTTATTCTTCGACATATAGCACTGTCTTAAACTCAGCTGCTGCCACATCCTAGAGAAAATGTCTCTTTTAAGAAGATTTATGTTAAAATATATTGAAACAGAAGATACACAGAAGAGCACTAAACAAAAAAAAATCAACAGCTTAGCTAGTTAATACTGACTCTTAATTATTTGATCATTATTCAATTTCTCTGCAGTTTCTTAATTATAGTGTTTATAGAGACAAGTGCTGCGAATTAGGTCACAGTTTAAGTTCTTTAAGCCTTTCTCTTTGTTAAAATGGTCTTAAACTTTACCAAAGTAACCAATTATGACAATTTGCTGTGTGTTATTCAAGGAAACTGTGGTTGCCTGGGGGTACCAAGGTAAACTAAACAAAGGCTATTTTGAAGATTTGGCAGAACTAAAAAAAAGTTCATTATGTCGATCTGTGTGAAAAATGTAGCATTTGATATTGACAATGGTTACATTTTGTGCACTGTGATGATATACTCACTGTGTTTGATCTGTCATTTAATTTAAAAAGTATCGTATTGTACTTCACTGTTTGTTTTGTTTTTGGATTAAAACAGTTTTAGTAGCAATCCACAACCTGAACTGAGGTTGTCACATGTCTTTTAAAATACATAACCTTCAAGTCAAGTCAGTCGTCAGTCTGACTTTTGAAACAAACACATTGCATCATCTGTCCCGTATCTCCTAGTTCTCTTGAATACAGCATCGTTCTCTCCACGTTTTGTATAATAATTAGGTTGGATTGAGTTGTTGGGGACCAAGGCATTAGTTATTGGTGAAGGACTGAGGCTTTGAGCCAATAAAAGGCCGAGGAGTTCACAGAGATTTGCAACAAACTTCAATGGCTTGCTCTGGTTAGAATGCCAAGAAGGAATCTCTTGGAGCACAAGTCCAGAGCCCCCTCCCTACTCCCGCCTGCATCTACCACTGAAGCCCCAGCAGTTTCAGACCTCAGGCATGAGTGGGAGGATTCGAGGCCATGTCTCGAAATTGTCAGAGAAAATCACTTTTAAGCAGTAAATAGCATGTAGGCAGTTGTTTTCCGTGGCACAAGATGGCCTTGCAGATGGGCTGCAGTCCTCGTCAGGCGCTGAAGCCTTCACAGCTCTTTGTACCAAAATCATTTTCTCAGATTGACACAGCAGTGTCAGATCTCCTTTGGGATTTTCTGATTATTTTGTTTTCTAAATGTCTGTTATTTCTGCTATTTAAACGACTTTAGATTTTTCTAACGTGAAAATTAAATGTCGTTGAGTATTGCTGAATGTCGGGTTTTGAGTGCATGCTGTAAGTGGCATGACAGCCTTAGTGTGATTAAATTTGTTTAGTTATTATGATAATTTAAAAGTGAAAAAGAATAGAGTTTTAGGTAGCACAAGATTAGCAGATAGCAATACTATAAAATTTGAAAAAGTTTAGGATTTTCAATGAATGAATGATTACTACTTTATGTTTGACTACATTTAAAAGTGGTACAATATATGACAACATTCATTATTATTATTTGTTTCAGAGCAGGTGGTTGCACTGAGTCATTTGCTTACAGTATTAGTCTTGATTTTACCACATATTTAAGGCCAGACTGGTTCTCACCTTGCACAATGTTTTTTTTTTTTTTTTTTTTTTTTTTTTTACAATAAATTAAAATGAAA